AAATAGGTTTGGGCCCTTAAATGTTTATGTTTCTCCAAAAAAATGGATTTTTATAGGGGTTAATCCACATATTAAGTGGTATATGAATGTTAAATAAATTAATCATTGGAAAATTATAAATTCTGCCCATGTACCATGAATATAAGTTTAGAAAATATATTTATGAATTTGGAGTGTGTTTTTGTATTTTCAAACAACATGGAAGATGGTAAATAGTATTTATTAGAAAATTCAGTTTTTTCGTAGGGGTTAACCCACATATTTCAAGAAAAATTATAAAAAATAGAATTTTTGTTTTAATGCATAGCTGCATCATACACCGACATAGTATGAAAATTAAATAGGTTTGGGCCCTTAAATGTTTATGTTTCTCCAAAAAATGGATTTTTATAGGGGTTAATCCACATATTAAGTGGTATATGAATGTTAAATGAATTAATCATTGGAAAATTATAATTCTGCCCATGTACCATGAATATAAGTTTAGAAAATAAATTTATGAATTTGGAGTGTGTTTTTGTATTTTCAAACAACACGAAAGATGCTAAATAGTATTTATTAGAAAATTCAGTTTTTTCGTAGGGGTTAAACCACATATTTCAATAAAAATTATAAAATATTGAATTTTTGTTTTAATTCATAGCTGCATCATACACCGACTTAGTATGAAAATGAAATAGGTTTGGGCCCTTAAATGTTTATGTTTCTCCAAAAAATGGATTTTTATAGGGGTTAATTCACATATTAAGTGGTATATGAATGTTAAATAAATTAATCATTGGAAAATTATAAATTCTGCCCATGTACCATGAATATAAGTTTAGAAAATATATTTATGAATTTGGAGTGTGTTTTTGTATTTTCAGACAACACGAAAGATGCTAAATAGTATTTATTAGAAAATTCAGTTTTTTCGTAGGGGTTAACCCACATATTTCAAGAAAAATTATAAAATATAGAATTTTTGTTTTAATGCATAGCTGCATCATACACCGACTTAGTATTAAAATGAAATAGGTTTGGGCCCTTAAATGTTTATGTTTCTCCAAAAAATGGATTTTTATAGGGGTTAATCCACATATTAAGTTGTATATGTATGTTAAATAAATTAATCATTGGCAAATTATTAAATTATGCCCATGTACCATGAATATAAGTTTAGAAAATATATTTATGAATTTGGAGTGTGTTTTTGTATTTTCAAACAACGTGGAAGATGGTAAATAGTATTTATTGGAAAATTCATTTTTTCCGTAGGGGTTAACCCACATATTTCAAGAAAAATTATAAAAAATAGAATTTTTGTTTTAATGCATAGCTGCATCATACACCGACATAGTATGAAAATTAAATAGGTTTGGGCCCTTAAATGTTTATGTTTCTCCAGAAAATAGGATTTTTATAGGGGTTAATCCACATATTAAGTGGTATATGAATGTTAAATAAATTAATCATTGGAAAATTAAAAATCTGCCCATGTACCATGAATATAAGTTTAGAAAATATATTTATGAATTTGGTGTGTTTTTTGTATTTTCAAACAACATGGAAGATGGTAAATAGTATTTATTGGAAAATTCATTTTTCCGTAGGGGTTAACCCACATATTTCAAGAAAAATTATAAAAAAATAGAATTTTTGTTCTAATGCATAGCTGCATCATACACCGACATAGTATGAAAATTAAATAGGTTTGAGACCTTAAATGTTTCTGTTTCTCCAGAAAATAGGATTTTTATAGGGGTTAATCCACATATTAAGTGGTATATGAATGTTAAATAAATTAATTATTGGAAAATTATAAATTCTGCCCATGTACCATGAATATAAGTTTAGAAAATATATTTATGAATTTGGAGTGTGTTTTTGTATTTTCAAACAACATGGAAGATGGTAAATAGTATTTATTGGAAAATTCATTTTTCCGTAGGGGTTAACCCACATATTTCAAGAAAAATTATAAAAAAAAATAGAATTTTTGTTCTAATGCATAGCTGCATCATACACCGACATATTATGAAAATTAAATAGTTTTGGACCCTTAAATGTTTCTGTTTCTCCAGAAAATATGATTTTTATAGGGGTTAATCCACATATTAAGTGGTATATAAATGTTAAATAAATTAATCATTGGAAAATTATAAATTATGCCCATGTACCATGAGTATAAGTTTAGAAAATATATTTATGAATTTGGAGTGTGTTTTTGTATTTTTAAACAACACGGAATATGCTAAATAGTATTTATTGGAAAATTCAGTTTTTTCGTAAGGATTAATCCACATATTACAAAATTAATTATAAAATATAATATTTTTGTTTTTTTGCATAGATGCATCATAAACCAACATAGTATGAAGATTAAATAGGTTATATATTTTAAATGTTTATGTTTCCTCAGAAAAATAGTTTCTATAGGGGCTATTCCACATATGAAGTGGTATGTGAATGTTAAATAAAGTAATAATTGAAAAATTATAAATGCTGCCCATGAACAATGAGTATATGTTTAGAAAATATATTTATAATTTTGGAGTGTTGTTTGGTATTTCTAAACAACACGTAAAATGGTAAATAATATTTATCAGAAAATTCAATTTTTTCGTAGGGGTTAACCCACATATTTCAAGAAAAAATATAAAAAATAAATTATTTTTTTTAATGCATCGCTGCATCATACACCGACTTAGTATGAAAATTAAATAGGTTTGGGACCTTAAATGTTTCTGTTTCTCCGGAAAATAGGATTTTTATAGGGGTTAATCTACATATTAAGTGGTATATGAATGTTAAATAAATTAATCATTGGAAAATTATAAATGCTGCCCATGTACCATGAATATAAGTTTAGAAAATATATTTATGAATTTGGTGTGTGTTTTTGTATTTTTAAACAACACGGAAGATGCTAAATAGTATTTATTGGAAAATTCAGTTTTTTCATAGGGGTTAACCCACATATTTCAAAATTAATTATAAAATATAATATTTTTGTTTTAATGCATAGCTGCATCATACACTGACATAGTATAAAAATTAAATAGATTTGCTATTTTAAATGTTCATGTTTCCTCATAAAATATAGTTTTTATAGGGGCTATTCCACAGGAGATAAAGAAGAAGAAAGTATATTATATATATTTATTGTCTTTCTCAGGACACAGTAACAGTTATTGAATACTAACCTAACTATATAATATGCTTATAATTAATAAAAACTTATCGAATGTAAATGTTTTATAATCTTAGGAGGAAGTGAAGGAAGAGAGCGAAGATGACATGGTCTTCGGATTGTTTGACTAGAAGTCCTTCTTCTAATTCTTCTTCTGTTGAAATATTTTCTTTTTGGTGAAATAGAAATCTTTGTCTTGGTTGCTTATGAGAAGCTTTTTTGTTGTTCAAACCTAAAAAAATTTACATTCAGCACAAATATTATTTATAAGATTAGATTAAGAGTTTGCTCAATTAAATGGTTTTTCTGAACCAATGGACCAATCAGGCTAAAACCTTCTCCAACATATATCTATTTTTTTTCTACAATAGAAAACTATATATTAATGATGGATTTATCTCTAATGTGGTCTTCTATAGTATCTAAATGCCATGTATTTGATACTATAGATGGACGTTATGTTTACCTCTAATTTCGAAGAACACATTAACAATAAGAACATCGAACCAATGACTTAATGTATGTGATGATTATTATTATGTAACTAGGGCTGGGACAGATCCGGATATCCGAAAATTTTGGAATATCCGGATCCGGATTCGTAAGATCCGTGATTTTATTATCCAGATTCGGATTCGGGCCGTCCAGGTATCCGGGTCTCGGATATCGGTCTAGAAGTTGTAATATCCGCGGATATCCAGATTCGGAACCGGATTCGTAAAAATAATTAAAAATAAATAAACTTTATTTAAAAATACATAAAATTTAAAAATAATAGACAAATTAATTATTTTTACCAAATTTATGAATATATATATATGACATATAATATTATTAAAAGTAAAATTTAGTATTATAAGATTAATTATATGTATAAATATTAATAAAATTATTAATAAAATTATTAATAAAATTTCAAATTTATTATAATTTAAAAAGAAAGATCCGGATCCGGATATCCAGACCTAAAAATTAAGATATCCGGATTCGGATCCGATTTGGACGGACCCGAGATTTTACTATCTGGATTCGGATCCGGGCACCCCCGGATATCCTATTTTCGGAGCGGATCCGAAGCAGATCTCGGATCATATCCGGATAATAAATCCCAGCCCTATATGTAACATTCTTGGCTTATGAAAATGAATTTTGCTATCAAGGTATGTTTTCTTTTTACCTTTAAACAGAGTAAACCAGAACAATCTAAAAAAGAGTTTTAGCTTTTTATTATTATGTACATTGGTTCTTCCTTAACCATAACCAGATTAAATTCCTTCCACTGTTTTTTTTTTCTCAAGAACCCTTAGCCCCTATACAGGCAAACCAACTGTAAGGAGAGAAGTAAGATCAGTTTTGGTTTTGAGACAGAAACAAAGTCTACTCAGCAAAAGAGTGTTCATTCAATTGCTCTGTTGGAAGCGGCTCAACTTTCTCAGCCTTGCCATCTTTCTTAGGGATTATCAGACCATACCCTCCTTCCCTTCTCTTGTACACTATGTTAATCTCACCTAACAACCAAAAGAATACCAAAAATGTAAGTGTTCCTTGCATTTCACGCAATCAAGTATATAATAAATGCATACCGGTTTCTTCATTCTGGAAGCCGTAGAAATCGTGAGCTACTAACTCCAGCTGCTCCACTGCCTCAGAGACTGTCAATGGTGGCATCTCAAAGTACTTGGTACGCACAATCTGTTGAACAAACCATGAGGAAATTATTACAAAGAATCAGTTAAAAAACTAACGGTTAGATATAAGTTTAGTGACCAACCTCTTTGATCAAATCATCATCTTCTTCTGGTGTAGACTCAACAACGTCTTCAGGATCATCCACAACGGGCTCAATCACAGGCTCTCTCACCTTCAATCTGTTGAAACCTTTCATGTGTCTTCCATGGTCAGAGTCCTTCTCCTTGATCTTCCTCAGCTTCCTCTGTATTATAGTTGATACCAAGTCGATACAAGCGTATACTGTCTCAGCATCTTCCTCACCTCGCACAACACCATGCTTCTTTGTAAACAGTGTTACCTATAGTGTACAAATGACAACTAATTTAGACAATTATGTACACTCTTGCTTCGTTGTCAAAATACATTATTACCTCGCATCTACGGATCTTAGGTCCTTTACCAAACTCTCCACCTCGAACAGAGAGTCTCACATCAACTTCTCTGACGAGATGACTGTGTTTCTGAACAGCTTTCCCTACTTTATCCTCAACATGCTGCTTGATTGCCTCTGATAACTATCACATCAATGCCACAGTTAACCAAATGATTAAACACAACCCTCTAGTAATCGAAAGTTCCAAACTTTAGTAACCAATTCTCAAACGATAAAAAAAAATCCAAACATTTAATAACCAATGCTCAAATAACAGAAAGTTCCAAACTTTTCTAGTAACCAATTCTCAAATAAATCGAAAGTTCCAAACTTTTCTATAGCCAAAGCTCAACTTATTTAAAGTTCCAAACTTTTCTACTAACCTATTTTCAAATAATCGAAAGTTCTAAACTTTTCTATAACCAATACTCAACTTATTAAAAGTTCCAAACTTTTCTAGTAACCAGTTTTCAAATAATCAAAAGTTCCAAACTTTTCTTGAAACCAGTTTTCAAATAATCGAAAGTTCCAACCTTTTCTACTAATAATCAAAACCCACAACAAAATCTAACACAAAGTTTACATCTTTCCTACATAACTCGATTTCAAGAGTGTTGCAAAGTCCAAACCTCGAGGTTTTTGCCTTGGATGATCAGCTTGACAGAAGCAAGAGAACCATCCCATGACATTTTCGCTGCTGATGAGCTTCTCCGACCAGAGGGTATGCGATCACTGTAAGTGATACGGCCGAGGAAGCTTGACCGGAGAGTCTTGGAATCAGAGCATCTCCTCACCATTGAGACCACTGTGGAGGAAGAAGAGCATGGTGGAGAAGAGACCGAGAGGTTGCAGTGGTGAAACTTGGTCTGAGAGAAACCTAAGAGTGTAGCCATTTGATTTGTGAAGTGAAGTGAAGAGTGAAGACTTTAAAGTGGAAGATTGGTCTGAAGGATATGTTTTTATGGATAAGGTGAAAAAATGGATAAGGACGCTGACATATGCAAGGGAGAATGTTGTATTTATGAAATGAACCCTTTTTCTTTCTAATACATTCATACTGGTTCCTCTTGTTTCTGATGTTTAAATAATGATCCGCTTTTTTGTTTTGGTGTTTACTGTTTAATCGTGATTTTAATTGGTCATTGACAATTATACGAATTGAATCTTTGAATGTTTTTGAAAGATTCTTTAGTTCTTAAGAAAAAAAATCCAATCCAAACTAAACTTTTTTAAAAAGATGAATCTTATCAAAAAATTAGAGTATCTACATTGAACTTTATACAATTTGTGAAAAATTATTGATTTTAAATTCTAATACTATTTCTTTCCTTTTAATATGTAAAAATGTTTCCAAATACTATTTAATAATAACTATTTAAATTTCTAATAATTTTATGCAAATTTTTTTAATGTAGTTTAAGTAAAAGAAGTAGATAAAATCTAGTCAAAATCTTATTTTAATATATGCATATCCATTTTCCAATATAAAATTAAAATAAAAAATGATCTTTTAACTTACTCCTTACAGTTAATTAAAACAAAAATAAAAATTTAAATAAAACAGAGCAAATATTAAATCTAAATATTAATAACTTTTTTTAGTTTTAACTATAATTTCAATTTTTGTTTCTATGCTTGCCTTAGGAAAACACTAAGTAATACTAAACACACACAAAAGATAAAGACATAGACATCAAAAAAAATTGAATATAAAGATAATGGTAAGTTAAACACATAAAAAAAAAATCAAACATTTTTTAACTATTAATTACCTCAATAAAAACAAGCGGTAACCACAAATAATTACACGTGTCGAAAGTAATTTTCTATAGAGTTTTGTGCGTGGCACTCTGAGACAGAGATGATCTCTTTCTTTCTTCCCCGCAGCTTTGTAAAAATTTCCAACACCGTAAAATGATGCAGTTGTTGTGATATGGGCTTACAATACGTTTGGTAACTAAGATAACAAGACTCATGGCTTAAGGCACCAAAACATTTCAAAAGGGAAATTCTCATTTGTCTTATATGATGCAAAGAAAAAGACCATTGTGACTTCGGTAATCTTGAAAACTTTTATCTCTAATTCATATATGATCATCATCATTTAACATACACTAAACTAACATGTATACTTTGTGCAGTGTCTTGATGGCACTGAGGTCCCATGCACTGATGGATTCGTCTTGCTTGGAGATGGCGAGCACAAAGTGTGAGAGTTTCTATGGAATATTATCCAAAGATCTCTACTTTGCTAATAAGAAAGGTTTAAGGAATTTCCAAAGGCCAAGATGAGGAGTCGAAGGCTGAATTTGTACCACCTGAGAACTAATAGAAGCTTCGATTTGTACCACCAGAGAAGAGATAAATGTACTATTTCCCCACGAAAACTATTATATAGCATCAAATATCTATCGAACTATTATCTTGTATCATACATCTCTGGATTATAAGGTATAAACTTATTTATCCCTGAATCTATAGTTCGAAATTTATTTCTCCCCGAATTAATAGTTTAGAACTTAATTATACATAAACAATGGTTTAATCGATTTATTGTTAACCTAACAATTTTAAAACCAAACAAAAATTCAATTTTATCGAAAAGGAAGTTTTCAAAATCTATCAAATATGAAATCTTCAAAATTTCTTTGATGATATTGATAGTGTGGAGTTTGAATAGTGTATGAGCTTCTTTTGTTTTTGAATAACAATTGGATTATTGACTTGTTTAAGTGGTTTAAGTTATATGATTAATAATAAACCAATAATAATTATAATATATGGGAAATTAAATTTTAAACTATCAATTTGGAGAGAAATAAGTTTGTAACATTTAATTCAAGGAGATGTGACATTAGATCATAGTTCGGTAGATATCTCATGTTATATAATAATTCTTATGGGAAAATAGTTGGTTGATCCCAGAAAAATTATAAACTATAGTTTTCGAGTTATCACTATTCACTAGACCGCTATGTACAACTAGACTGAGAATATATCTTGCCACTATTCACTGACCCAATATAAACATAGTTTTTTTTAGTCAAAGACCCGATATAAACATAGTATATATGATTCATTTTGTGTTGTTAAAGGTTCAAGTATTCAGTGGAAAACCCAAGTGATGTTGGCTCTCAAATGGAAAACCCAAAAACATTGTATAGCATTTGTTTTTACATAGGTCAGTTAGATTGGTTTGCAGATATTTTATCGACCATAAAATGGCTTTCTCTCATCTACTTAAAATCATTGCACATTTATTTATCGCTTGGTTAGATATCTGGATTGTCGCAAGTGGATGTTTGAACAACATTAATATCTTATTAGTTTATAAATGACCAGCCAATAGCCATGTGATAAGATTTAGAAATATCTCAACTAGCTTAAAAAAAAAAAGAGAAAAAAAATATCCTACATACTGTAAAGAAACGAAAAAGAAATACTATAAAGTTTAGTTGGCCACAAAAAAAATAGAGAGGACGTGAAATATCGTTGAGACAAAAAAAAAGTAGTATAGTATTATGTTTGAAAAAGGATGGAGCCTGTTCGTGTGTAAATTAGGTCCAAATATCTTTAGATTTTTATTCCTTAAACCAAAAGACAAAAGTCATCACTCACTCCATCCACCACACTTAAACAAACTCGCGTGCGTTATCGTCCAACTAAAGTCATAACACGTTATGTTCCATGCATTATCGATGGTTCAATATGTCAATGACAATTTAAGCAAAGAAAAATTGTCAATGACAAACTTCAACAATACTCAATAGCTTTTGGCGATTAAAACTTGACGGCCAAACAATCGATACATGATGAAAAGTGGCAAGACATTTTCTTCCTTGACACAGATTCAACACAAGTAAACTCCCACTTTGCATACTAACATATATGTTTACAATCCACATTTCATAGTATTTAGAAGGAGAGAAAAGGTAAACGACATGGAGAAATAAACATCAATAGCTACTCGAGTACTAACCATTAACAAATAATCGACTGATCAGGCTTCTAGACAGAAACATGATCAATGAATAATATAATACTTCTCAATACAAGGATTTGGAATTGGAGAAAGCAGATTAGAGGAAGGGCTAGTTTACTGGTTCTCCAAGATGTTTTGCATGGCTTAGTGGCATGGTAATGATGAATGAATACATCTTGATGAACTAATGTATATGTATTGTAATCTTAGTTTGACATCTCCTGCCTGTTGTTGGTTCTAACTTCAAAACTTCTGCACTTCTAATATATTTTAAGGAAAAGCCATATGCGAATTTCGAAAGTTCTGAAAATTTTAGGGAACATTATTATACTAATGAGTTTGATTAAGGGAAAAAAGTATTTGTCAGTGGTCACTAATAAAGAAAGAAAGTTGTGGTTTAAAGAAGGTGAGTGGAATGAGAGAGCGAGTAGGAGTTATCGATCAAACCCTCGGCGAGTGAAAGAGACAGAAACAATTAGATATTTTGCATCTGACAGCTACCATCAATGGTGAAAGATTGTGTCAGATTACCACCATACACGTGTCGTGTTCTTATCCACCAAGACCACAAAGTTTAACAAGTGTCTCGTTGTCTTATCCCTCCTAAAATATCTAGCCGCGGAAATAACTTTAAAACTCTTCCCATGGTCCCTACGTTGACACGTTGTTATTCAGAGAGAATAACGTTTACATAAGAAAACCAACAGTAATCATTTGTTCGTATTTTTCTTCGTCTCTAAATCGAAATTAAATATTATTAATCGTCAGTAAAAAAAAATAAATACTGTAGAAATGTATTCTTATGCTAATTAAATTATTACGAATTACTCCTTCCGTTTCAGAATATTATACTTGTCATTTTAGACTTAATTTTTTGTCACAAATGAAATGTTGCTTTAGAGTTTCGAGACAAAATTTATTAATTTTATATATTATTTTTCTATTCGTTGAAAAACGGTTAGATGTATAGATAATTATGATTTTATTTTGAAAATACGTAAAATTAAATATTTCATTAATATGTGTGAAAAAATCTGAATGATAATTAAAATGAAACAGAAGGAGAATCACTAGAAATAAAAGAAATATATTTTTTACTCAGATCTTATACAAATAAAAATGCATAAGATACTTGTTTGCCACTTGCATTAGATATTTTCTTCACATGATTTTATCCAAAAATTTACGAGTGGGTTTCTTTTTTATGAGCCTGTTAATTTTTGACAAAAATGTTTGTTCACTAAAGCAGATGATTATTGGACAAAATACCAAATTATTTGGTAATTAACAAATTTCTGTAAAGTTAATCATAATCACAAGTGATAGCTTCAAATGCTTAACTAACCATTAAGCTGTCAAGCAATAAATATTTTATGGAATAAGCATAAAATCAAAATCCAACTTTAAATATGAACCACAGAGTAATCAACGCCCTAGCCACCACACCAATTAGAAAAAAACTTATTCGGCGTACTGGATCTCTTTTGTCTCGTACAGTATTTGCTGATGTGGCAAACGTAGTCCACGTCAGCGTACTCTACTAGATATTTTTCGTATCAGTTTACTAGCTTCATAACCGTTGGATTACGGTTGCTTGGACTCGTGATTCTAATATCAACCGTTGATTTCAAGATATTTTATTCTTCTTCTTCCTTGACAAAACAGAGAATAAGAATTATTTTCCCTCTTTATCTTTCCTCTCACAATATACCTTTTTTTTATTTGTTCCAACTGTCTCTTCCTCTTCTTTCTGGAACTTCATTAGGATTTGGTTTGATTTATTGTGAGATGGGAGAAATGAGTAACGAGGTTGTTGAGGTGACGGTGGTTGAGAAACCAGCGCGGCGGAAGACGCGGAGGAAGGACGCCACAGAGGGCGGTGATGGTTTGGTGACATGGGAGAGGTTTCTCCCGAAAATCTCTCTCAGAGTTTTGCTTGTAGAAGCAGACGATTCCACAAGACAGGTTGTATCTGCTCTTCTCAGGAAATGTAGTTACAAAGGTCAGTTCTTGTTTCAGTTCCATGGCTTCTGTCTGAACCTACTGTTTTGTCGGAATCTATGTTGTCTGAAAATCTGGAACTGTAAAATCTGATTAGTATGTGAAAGTATTTTCCTTTTAATCTTGGATTAGTTTATTTTCAATAAAAATGTTTTCTTTTAATCTCAGCTTAATGTTATTAATGTGGTCTGTTTTGTGTACTATGTGGTGTATTCACAGTTGCATCTGTACCTGATGGGTTGAAAGCATGGGAGACGCTAAAAGGAAACCCTGAAAGTGTCGATCTGATACTCACAGAGGTTGATCTACCTTCAATATCTGGATACGCTCTTCTTACTCTTATCATGGAGCATGATACCTGCAAGAACATCCCTGTCATAAGTATGTGTGCATTTATTTTAACTCTTGCTTCTTCTTTTTTGATCCTTTAGAAATGATTTTTAGCTCATGATATTGTTTGTTTCAGTGATGTCGACACAAGACTCTGTGAATACTGTGTATAAGTGCATGTTGAAAGGTGCGTCTGACTATCTTGTCAAGCCGTTGAGGAGGAATGAGTTGAGAAATCTCTGGCAACATGTTTGGAGAAGAAGACAAAATGTATGTTCCCATTCAATCTTTTTTTAACCTTTTTGTGTCTCTCTGAGCAATCTATAATTGAGTTCTTGAATCTTCTTGGCAGTCACTTGCTCCTAATAGCTTTCAACTTGATGAGAGTCTCGGACACCAGAAACCTGAGGGTGCTCAGGTTAGATTCTCTTCACTTGTGTAGTTTGATTCTGTTTCTTTGTATCTAAACTTTTTGTTCTTGTAGAGCTCATGTACAAGACCAGAGATGGAAGGAGAGAGCGAGGATAACACAAGAGACTCATCTAAAGAAGCTATTGACTTCATGGGAGCTTCGTTTACAAGAAACACACAAGGCAACAGAGAAGAAAGTGTTGCTAAATATGAATCTAGGATAGAGCTTGATCTCTCCCTGAGAAGACCAAACCAATCTTCTAGAGACAAGCCCTCTCTTCATCCTTCTAGTGGCTCTGCTTTCACAAGGTACGTTCACAAGCCGTTGCTGACACAATGTTCTGTCTCTCCCTTGGTTCCCGACCAGAGAAAGAATGTTGCAGCAAGTGAAGATGGCAACATTGTGGTAACCAATCAATACAATTCATCTGAACTGCCTCCAAGTGCTCCTAGAAGAAACGAGGCCAGCTTTTACAATGGTGCTGACTCACCTGGTCCACCTTCTTGGCCAGGACAAGGTTCTTACCTCCCAACGCCAGTTCCCATCAAGAATATACAGTTCACAGGTCCTGACAGAGCTCCTGCTTCAAGCCCAAATGAGTACAGTTCCATGTTTCACCCATTCAACGGTAATAAACCTGAGGGTTTGCAAGAGAAAGATGTAGAGGAGAGAAGACACGTCTCTTTTGCAATAGGCAACCACTGCAGTACCAGCTACATTGATTATCACCATCAGCATCATCAGCAGCTTCTGGAGAAGAAGAACCAAGAAGGATACTCGTTGTCTGTAGGGAAGACTGAGCAATCTCGTAGGGAAGCTGCTTTAAACAAGTTTCGGATGAAGCGCAAGGACAGGTGTTTTGATAAAAAGGTGATGTTCAAACTCATGACCACACACACAACTCTTTGTTAAGAGGGATGATTCTAACGGTTTTAAAACCTTTGTTATGACTTTTGGACAGGTTCGTTATGAGAGCAGGAAGAAACTGGCAGAGCAACGTCCGCGTATCAAAGGGCAGTTCGTTCGTCAAGTCCAATCCACTGAGACTACAACACAAGAAGCTCCACAATGATATTTATTAGTATATACAGTTCAGTTTTGTAACAACTAGAGTACTTTGTTTTCTCCGATTCAGGAGCTGTTCTTGTACTAACTTCTCCATAGTTGGTGACACCTATGTGTATACCTTCAACTTTGGAGCTTTGTTGTTAAGTTTAGTTAGTAATCAACTTTAGATATGTAAACTACATATGGTGGTGACACTTTTTATGTGTACATGCTTTGGAGCTTTGTTGTTGAGTTAGGTTTATTTCGGCTCAACTTATATTAATTAGAGAATGTTTACATTTATAGGTTAAGATCACAATTAGTATCACAAAAGAAGAGTATTTGAGGCTTTGATCAATACTTCTATGTACTTCTGTAACTTGCAACTAGAGTTATATAGAGATTGACATAACTATATTAAAAACGTTTTTGAGCATAAACCAATGAAACTGAAGAAGAAATATCAAAGCTTATTTAGTTAGTAATCTACTTTAGATATGTAACTACATCATGGTGGATATAGTACACACAAAAGAAGAATGAGTATTTCATGCTCTGATCAATACTTCTATGTACTTTCTGTAACTTGCAACTAGAGTTATATAAAGATTGACCTAACTATATTAAAGAAGTGTTTGAGCACAAACCAATAAAACTGAAGAAGAAAGATCAGAGCTTCTAATAGTAGCCAACTTACACCATTATTTACAACAAACAAAGCCAACCTAAGAAGATTAAACTGAGATCTAATGTGTTATTTATATACTACTTAATATGAAAACACTATAAAGGTATGTTTTACATTGCTCTTGATTATTCATGTGACTAATGATAAATCACTGTAATAAAGACCACAAAAGGAATCTAAAGTGAAAAGCTGTTGTGAATTTTTTTAGGACCGAACCGAACTGGGACTAACCCACTTCCAATAATGCCGCTTCACCGTCACAGCTTTTCCGACAGCTTCCGCCAACTCTCCACCATACTCTCTCTCCTCCGTACAGAAATCTTCCTCCGGCAACCCCCGCACCGTCGCATCAACCGAATGCAACGCGTAACGCGCGGGTAACCCCGGATACGAAACCGAGTTCCTCTCCTCCACTCTCCTACTATACGTCCCGGGAACAATCTCAACCCTCTCTCCGACGTCGTTTTCGCCCTTAAAGACAGAACCAAGCTCTTCTTTAACAGCACGAAACACCGCTTCGTCTGTACTTTCGCCAGGCTTCATCTTCTCCGACAAAGGACGAAACCTCTCACGCACGCTCCCGTCGGACAACTCCTGGTGAGACTCCACGAGGATGTTCCCGTTGTCTCCGATCACACGCACCGTTACGACGTTGACGGTGCGTACGGGAGGAGTCGAATCCGCGAGAGAAGTCTCTCCGTCGGAGAGCTCGAGCCAGAGGTTGTGGACGTTCTTCGTCCCCGGTTTGACTCCCCACGCGGCGAACGAGTCGGACGGTAGTCTCGGCTCGAGCCACTCGGAGAGAGACTGAGCGTTTGCGAAACGCTTCGGAGGAGGAGGAGACATGGTGGTGGAGCGGCGGCGAGGAGTGAGAGGGAAGGAGAGTCTGTTGGGAGGGAGAGGTTTGGGGGAAGACCAGAGGAAGAGGAGAGAGACGGTTGCGAGGAAGAGGTCGGGGAGGGCGGAGGAGACGGTTGCGTTTGGAGGTTGGAGGAGGTTGTTACGGCGGTTGGGAGGAGGTTTGTGCGGTGGAGATGGAGGTGGGCCGAGGAACATGTCAAAATGACTAAAAGGTCCCCACGGGAGTTAATAATCGTGGCTCATTCTATAACCGTAGAGAGGGGGTATAACATCAATCTATTGGATTTTTTTTTTTTTTAATAGATTTTCTACGACAAGATAAAGAGGAATATGAGGGGGAGATTGTAATGACTAATGATAATGGTCAAAAAGATGATTCGCATCTTTGTAAAGCTTTGCTACTTTTTTATTAACTAGTTGTATACCTCCGCGCAAGCGCGGAGCCGGGATCATTGATTTTTGCTTGTGTTTTTTCTGGTTATTGGTTTAGTGGGTTATTCTAATAATACCAAATAATGATGAAATGGAAAGAATGTATCAAGAATGTAAAGTGAAAATATTGTATATATAATGTGTTAAATGTTATTTATATGTGAAGTAAGTTTTATAGGGATAACTAAATTATAATATAGTTTATAGTGTATAAAAATAGGTGTCTATCTTCTTCTTTTTTATGTTGGAAATAGTTTTTATATTGGAGATCAAAACTTGATATAATTATTTATTTATAGTATTTATATTTGTACTAAACGATTTATCAATTTGAAAATAACTTTAATTTAAGCTAATATTTGTTGTTTGAGTTTCAATAGATAGGTTTGGATATGTTTTTTTGTAAGTTTGGATTTTTTTCATGAATAATGTGGCATTTTTATTTACGTCGTCATCGACTGTGGAAATCTATTCGCCGGAGTCTGTTAAAAATGAAATTATAGTAACTATTAAAAATTGAAAAGAAATTACATAGTTATTTTATACATAACAAAAAAAATACATAAATTTTGTTGCTTTTATTTTATTTCACATACATAATTTTTTGAAAATATATATTAGGAAATATGTTCTAACATAAAATATATATTAGGACATGATAGTGCCGCGTGGGACTCGTTTTGTTTTTTGTTTTTTTGGGCTGTTTGTTTTTGATCTATTTTTATTTGTTTTTGGGTTTGAATCGTCAAAATTTAGGATTTTTTCTACTATTTTGGGCTTTAAACAATAAGTCCAGAGGTAAAAAAACATACAAACATACAAACTAAAAAGTCCATATGATAATAATTCAAACGGAAAAAACTAAAATACATAACAGCTGTGTGGTTTGAACCCACATGCTTACAGACTTAATTAGATGTCTTATACCACTTTGCTAAAGTGTATTCATTGTTCATAGTCATTTAAAAAAAAAAAAGCTTTTAAAATTTAAACACGTGGGACCCACAAACTTGCTGACGTGGACAGCTTTAGGAGCCTTAGAAGTGAACTATTATAATATAGATTCCTAATCATTTTATGTTTTTCTACATAGATTAAAATAATATTTAATTTTACATGTTTTCTAAATAAAAACATAATATTCTATACATTTTAATCATTTTTCAACCAATGAAAAAAATATGAAATTAATAAATTTTACATTAAAAATTATAAACGATAGTTATTTTTAAACGGATTTTTTTCTCTACAACGATATATAAATTGAAACGGGGAGAATATATTACAAATCACAATATATGTAGCTTCTTATTTAAATCTATTGACTATCTAATTATTTGTAACAGTATTCAAATATATTTTTCACATTATTATTAAATAATTTACAATTATTTAGAATCTGACTGCACTAGTATTTGTTGCTTTTTTACTATTTTATGATGATCCATGTCTAACAATTCTACTTACCAAAAAAGTGCATGTTTTTTTCCTCATTAATTTGATAAATTTTTTATATTTTTGAGATTTGAATCTAGAGTTCTTGATATAAAATTATTAATGAGTTTTTAATCACATCAGAATATCTCTTCAAGTTCTTCATAATTGTTCAGTACCCAAAAATAGAAAAATAAATAAAATAGTTAGATTTTCTTCTACAAAATAACAAATAAGTATTTTTGGCTATGAAAAAAACAACTAAAGTTCTACACATATTAAATTATGTAATATTTTCTTATAAACCAATAAATGAAGAAGGTTGAAATTAGTTTCAAAATGAAAGAAAAAGTGAAATATGTTGCCAGAAAAAGAAGGGTATTTTTTTCAGAATCTTGTTAAGAAAATAACAATAAATTTTATTAGTGAGAAGATTTGATATAATTTGACAAATGACCAAAGTAATTAATAATGAATAAATGGTGTTGACAGATGACCAAAGTAATTAGTAATAATTTATTGTATCCATATATTTTTCTTGACTGGAATTTATTGCTACTGTGAACAAAAGGGCTTCATGCTCCCCATATTATAATCTTCAAACTTTTCTTTAGTCTGATTTATTCACAGATTTATCAGTTGGTGTGAATGATCATGGCTGACCCAAAAAATTCTGATGTGAATGTGGATTCTCCTGATCAGAACTTAGACAACAACACTGCTTCATTAGCAGATACGATGCTGGTGCCATGTCCTGATGATCAAAACCCTGAATCCAACTCTTCTGTTGAGACACCAAACCCTGTAAAGGGTGAAAGTAGTGAAGGGGCTCTCAAGCGTGAGATCAGGAATTCGGATGTTAAGTTAAATCCGATGGCTAAGGAATATGTTCCACAATCACTTGATCGAACCCACTCTTTGTTTGTGACCAATAACTTATGGTTTACCAACGGTTTCACAATGCAAGCTTTCTATGCTCAGGATAATGAGAATTTTGCTACAAGGGTATGTATTATGTATATCATCTCTTACATATTTCTCTGACTTTTGGTCTATATGTATTGGATTTGTTATGTTACATGAAAATTTGTGAATTATAAAATGTAATTTGAAAATTATTTTTATTTTGCGAGTTATTTTTCCAAAGGTGGTTGATTATAATTATATTCTTGTCCTTTTAACACAGAGAATGAACTCTGGCCAAAGGAAGCGAAGGATGAGCAAGAAAATAAGCCTGGCTCAGAAGGAAGATGTAATCAGGAGAACGGTCCATGTCTCAGACATTGATCAACAGGTCTAAAAAGAGAATTAATGTCTTCAATAACTCACTTTCTCAAAAGGATTCTAATACAATTAACCAAAACCCTCTTTATCTTTTTTGTAGGTTACTGAGGATCAACTTGCTGGTCTCTTTCAATCTTGTGGCCAGGTAGATGAGGGCCACTTTGTTTTTATATCATCTTCACACTCAAGTCTCATATAGTTTCTTGTCCATCTTTGGGTCTATATTAAAAGGTTGTTGATTGTCGTATCTGCGGGGACAACAAATCTATTCTCCGTTTTGCCTTCATTGAGTTCACTGAGGAAGGTACCTCTACTCCCACCAACTTGTCTTATCACTTTTGAAATGTTTCTTCTTGTGTTTATTAATCAGTGAAGTAATGTCTCAGAGGGAGCTAGGTCTGCTTTTAAACTATCAGGAACTCTATTTGGCTCTCATCCTATTAAGGTTCTTCTATCCAGGACAGCTATTGTACCTGTGAATCCGAGTCTCCTTCCAAAGGTAAGTTGAGTCATATAATTACATCTAAGCCAGTTTTAGGCGTGGCTCTTACTCTTATCTATTCCTGAGTTTGCGTAATGTTGCTTTCAGTCTGAGGAGGAGCGTGAGAAATGTGCCAAGACTGTTTACTGTACTAATATTGACAAGAAGGTAATCTTGATTTCATTTCATAATCACTTATGATGTCTTTTGGAAAAATCTATGTTATTATGCTCATTACATGTTTGCATCAAACAAGTTAATCCAGCTATTACGTGCAGGTCACTCAAATGGAACTGGAAGATTTCTTTAAAGCAGCATGTGGGGAGGTACATATTTGGTTATGGGCTAAGGAGATTGATTGTTTATACTTTAAACTAGGTCGTGTGTTTAAACTTTACATTATCTATATTTGCTTGTAGATTCAGCATATGAGGGTTATCCAAGACCGTCATCACCAAACCTGCATTGCTTTTGTTGAATTTAAACTGGTGATTTATCTCTTTGCCTCATTCTCCGTACATGAATTTTTATTATCACGTTGGTAACTACATGAACTTGATTCTGAAGTTAATAATATTATGATACTTCACTTTATAAAAGTTTCAAGGTGAACTAATTTTTTTCATATTTTCATTCATTTTATATACGTGATAGTCTTTTGAAGCCGTACTCATTCTCCGATTACATATTTATTATCATCATAAATGTGATATACACACTGCAATAATGTGCATGGTCCACTATATATTGAGTTTTTTTGTTTGGCCTGATGAGGCAAGTTTTGATCCCTAATCAACTTTTATGTACAAATAATAAAGTTGGAAATGATTATTTTCTGTGTTTCAGGTGGAAAGTGCAGTTACTGCTCTTAGCTACAGCGGTATTATCTTGGGCGGGTTCTCTGTTAGGTAGGTTACAATAGTTTTACTATTATTTTCTTTACTGTGGCCTTTTGATCTTTCTAGTGTTTAGTTTACAAACTATTATAACCATTTGCGATTAGTTCGTTTAGTTTTGGATGCAGAACGTTGCATGTTAATAGATTTTGTGACATTTTTTTTGTTAAGACGCCTCCGGTCTTTAGTTATTTTCTTTTGATTCAGTTGTAAGTATGTTGGTGTTCTTTAAGGTTAACAACTCATCACTGTGAGATTAATATTTTGCCTTTTCTTCTATATGTGTGAAGGGTAAGCCAGTCCAAGACACCAGTGAGGCTAGAGCCCTTTGATTTAAACTAATGTTAACTGCAAACCGATCAAAGTGCTCATCAATTCAAGAAGAGAAAGAGAGATCAAATTTCATTTTAAAGATACCTTTTGTTACTTAACCTCTCAGACTTTCTCCTTCTTTAATTTGCGTTATGAACCCAATTGTTCGTTTTTCTGGTTATATTCATGGATCATTTTAAGACTCTTTCTGGGCCAATCTTTTATTTTGCTCTATCTTCTGTCTTAATCTCTATGCATATACATTTTTTTTTTGGTAAAATGATCTATGCATATACATTTGATAAGATCACTAAGTGTTTTAGTTGTTTAAAATCTTGTCAAATTGTTTCATTGATCTTTCTTGTTCTTTCTGTTGGATTTAAGGAGAGTCTTTGCTTTGTGAAAGAGTATTTATTTCTTATGTTATTTGGGTTTGCTCTGATTGTACTTTTAGTTTATAATATATCGTTGTCTTAAAGGATCTAGTTAGCTTATCAAGATATAGACGATCCTTATGGTCAAACAAAACCATCTAGTACAAAAAAAAAATTCTAAATTAGGAAATCCTAAATACCTTTTTCAGTAGTTTAGAATCAAAAGTGTTGGTTGGTGTTGTGATCATTTCAGACACTCTTTTCAACAATTATCTGGTGTGGTAATTTACAGATTCTATTCCTTCCCATTCACAATAATGTTTAAACACGATCTTTTCTTTGTTTAGGTAGCTAGCTTTATAGTATAAAATTGACATAAAAAAATCATTGGCAAAAACTACACAACCAAGTGTGAAACCACAACTAATCTTAGGCAACCAAGTGTGAAACCACAAACTAATCTTTTTTTTTTGATAAAAACCACAAACTAATCTTAGGCACAATAAATATGGAAGCTTCTTTAGTTGATATATTAGCATGTGTTTGTAACTAAAAGCATATACTATTCTATTCCACCAAGTCTTGTGACTTGTTTGTTTCAGACTGGGACATCATTAATCTCATACATATTCAAACGTTGAAGAGTTTAGCGGAAAGGTAAACGTCAACTTATCAGACCGTTAACTTATCTGTCAAGATAGTGGAGAATACGTATCCGACAACGCAATGGTATATTTCTTGCGGCGTAAGACAAGCTCATTCAAAACAATCGGATAACTGCATCGACCATATTCAAAAATCAAACCAGACAGTAGACGATTCATGAAGACTGTACCCTGAGGAGAAGCATTACAAACAACCGATTCCAACCCTCAAAAATACTTGAAAAAATCAGTCTTTTTTAGAAGACAATTATTATTATGGTATGTAAACGTTCTTATAAAAATGACTAATTTTTAGAAAATTGTTTTTGGTCTTTTCCATGTTAGGACCGGTACTGCATGAAGGCTACAACGTCTAAATGGTTTCTGGTTAATTATGATTTGAGCTAGCCACTTTGGTTGAGCTCAACCAATTGAACCGATGACCGTAAAGTCTGACCGGCAACTATTTGCTACCAATAGACGGTATCAGACCGGTTAAACATAGAAATCAAACTTGCTTACCAATTTGTATCAAGACGGTTTGAACCGGTTTATAATAAAGATGAAAAGTGCCTTTTTGTTGTCTTTTTCACTTGGCGGTGTAAGAATAGTCAAGTTGGTAACCGTATTAACTCGTTTTCGCGTTTCCCTGACAAATGGCTGCGACTTTTTGTTTTGTTTAATATGTTCGGTGACCGGCTGTGACAGATCATAATCACCGTCTTCCATCTTTTAAATATTTATTTATTGTTACACTAATTGGAAAACTCGGTAGTGTAAAAGTCTCTTAAAGACTTAGACTATGTTTAGGTAACGTTTTGTAAGAACATTAGTTAAACTAGTGTCCAAAACGGTAGTTCTACACCAAGTTGGTTAGCTAAATTTAGAGAAGTTACCATTTAGACATGTACATCTCAAATTATTGATAAGCTTGCTTCTAATTCTTGATTAAATGTATATTTAATACCATAAGATAATACTAAAAGGTAGAATCTCAATTTTGCAATAAAAATAAATAAACTGAGATTCTATTTGGTTTCTCCATCTATACATTTAGACTCTGATCTAATTATTTGTACTGTACAATCAAAGAACATGAGAACATGACCGAGCAGTAGATTATTTCAATCTTATTACAAGCTTTGTCAATTATTTAATAATCGAACAGCTTTCTCTTTAATCATTGTCAATCGATAAGTACAACACTGACGACCATGACCATCATCATTTAATCATCCAACAAATAATCAAAAATTTGATTCCAAACACATTATTTTTGAAGACTGACTTTCATATATTCTCTCCGTTTCCAAATGTTAAACGTTTTAGTTTTTTCACATATTAAAAAAACATAGATTTTAATTACCAATTCATCATTTTTTATAGATAACAAATCCTTATATTTTTAACCAATAAAATTGTTAAAAATATAATTATTTGTTTCAGAATTTAAAATTTTTCATTCAATTATACATTGAAAATATAAAAATACATCTTTTTAAAATAATATTATTTCTAGAATGTTTATCTTTTTGAAATGGAAAGTACACTAACAAAACAGTATAAACCATAATCCCAAAGAGATTAGGAACTCTTAATATATATCATAATGATAAGATAATGATGAACATAGATGTAATCTTTATCTATATGATTCCCTTTCTAATAAATCCATCAAAATTTATCTATAGGATTCCCTTTCCTAATAAATCAACTTTACAAAATAAGTTAATGTTTGTTTGGGTACACATCGTAAAACCATTACTCATTCATGTCCCATAAGAAAGACTTTTAAACGAAAATTACGTTAAATTATCACACAACAAAAAAGTGATTAGTGACACTAGTTACACGCTCTTCTTGGTTGTTGTAGTTAAATGGTTGTGTCGTATTAGCAAAAACCACATGTAACGCCTTTCACCTTTTTGCTTCTTTTAAAATCTCTGAGCTCTCTTCATATTTTCATTTTCAATTTGTTTTTTTTTTCTTTCATTAAAAACATTTTTTTTCTGTTCTCACTATTCAACCTCGTCTCCTCACCGTCCGATCAGTCAACTAACCTCCACATCCAACGTCCATGGGCCACTGTCTCAGCCGCAACGCCTCCGCCGTCAAAGACGACGAGATCCCCGACGCCCCGAACCTAACACCGTCGCGAACCCCCCGGCGAAGTCCAACTCCTCAGTCTCCCCTCGCCGCCTCCAACAGCCCCTTCCAGAGCCCCTTACCGGCGGGAGTATCTCCGTCGCCGGCGAGAACTCCGGGAAGAAAATTCAAATGGCCGTTTCCGCCGCCGTCGCCGGCGAAGCCGATCATGGCGGCGTTGCGACGGCGGAGAGGCGCGCCGCCGCGGCCAAGAGACGAGCCGATCCCGGAGGACAGCCTCGGAGGAGGTGGGGAGAGGCTGGACAAGAACTTCGGGTTCGGTAAGAACTTTGAAGGGAAGTATGAGTTGGGGAAGGAGGTGGGGCGAGGGCATTTTGGTCATACTTGTTGGGCTAAAGGGAAGAAAGGGAAGATGAAAGGACAGATGGTGGCTGTTAAGATCATCTCCAAAGCTAAGGTCTTTACTCTCTCTCTCTCTAGTCTCTAGGTAGGTTTTGAAATGTGGTTCCGACCAATGTAGGGACTTGTTTTTCATTATGTCGGAATATTGAAAGATTTTGTTTTTTTTTTGGAAATTCAAGATTTGTGTCTGTTTAAATGGGGGAATGTGGAATGATGTGAAGATGATGATTTTTTTTTTTTTTTCTTTTCAGATGACAACGGCTTTGTCTATTGAAGATGTTCGTAGAGAAGTGAAGTTGCTGAAAGCTTTATCTGGGCATAAGCATATGGTTAAGTTCTATGATGTCTTTGAGGACAATGATAATGTCTATTTAGTTATGGAGTAAGTTACTTTCACTCATAATCTTATTGAGTATATGGATGTGGAAGTTTCATTATTTTCTAAAAAAATTTTAAACATTTTATTAAATGAGTTGATTTCAGATATTAAATATTCTCTTCTAATATGCTTTCAGGTTGTGTGAAGGTGGAGAGCTGTTAGATAGAATCTTGGCTAAGTAACTACATCTTTAGTAGTCTTCTTTTGTATTCTTGAATTGTATATTAGATTAAAAACTTGTGTTATTGCTTTTACTGCAGAGGTGGTAAATACACTGAAGTAGATGCAAAACGTATTCTTGTACAGATACTATCTGCAACTGCATTTTTTCATCTCCAAGGTGTTGTGCACCGTGACTTAAAGCCAGAGGTATACACAGTCTCCCTTCTATAAGTTGCTTACATAGACTTTGGCTTATATGGTGCATTTGTGTGTTTCCAGAATTTTCTATTTACCACCAGAGACGAGGATGCAACACTCAAAGTCATAGACTTTGGCTTATCTGATTTCATTAGATACGGTAAAAAACAATTACATATTGTATGTAAGTCTAGCTTTGACATTATGATGAGTTAAAAATCTTTTGTTTGCAGATCAAAGACTCAATGATATTGTGGGAAGCGCATTCTATGTAGCACCTGAAGTACTCCATAGATCTTACAGCACTGAAGCAGATATGTGGAGCATTGGTGTCATATGTTACATACTACTCTGTGGGAGCAGACCTTTCCATGCAAGAACTGAGTCTGCAATATTCCGTTGTGTGCTTAGAGCAAACCCTAATTTTGAGGGTATGCCTTGGCCTTCTATATCTCCTACTGGTAAAGACTTTGTGAAGAGGCTTTTGAATAAGGATCATAGGAAAAGAATGACTGCTGCTCAAGCTCTAGGTTAGTTCATTCTTGAAATGGAAACAAGAACTTGGTATTATAAGTAGGTTTTGCTTTGCTTATTATGATTTGTGTTTGCAGCTCATCCGTGGTTACGTGATGAAAACCCTGGTTTACTTCTTGATTTCTCGGTTTACAAGTTGGTTAGGTCTTATATTCGTGCCTCGCCTTTAAGAAGAGCAGCACTTAAGGTAGTTTCTTGATACCCTCATGTAATTATTATCAAGTGCATTGATCTTTTCGCTTGGCACACTCACATACTTGTTAATCTTTGAATAGGCTCTCTCCAAAGCTATACCAGATGAGGAGCTTGTGTTCCTTAAGGCACAGTTCATGCTCCTGGACCCTAAAGATGGAGGCCTATCTCTTAACAACTTCTCCACGGTCAGTGTGCCTTTCCTGATTTAGCTATTGTATATTGATTCAGTCTTTGATTTGTGTGCACTGTGCACTCATCGGAAATCGATAAGCCCTTCTAGAGCTTGGATGAGTCTTACAAGTTACAACTAAGCTGCATCTCTCTACAGATAAATGGAAACCTAAAACCAAAGTCCTTTAGGAAAAGGAAATGGAGAAATAGAACTACTAATAGTTTCCTAAAGAAAGAAATAAAAACCTTGATTTTAAAAGAAACAAACTAATGCCATATATTGATTTGCAGGCTTTAACAAGATATGCTACTGATGCTATGATGGAATCAAAGCTTCCTGACATTTTAAACACAGTAAGACACCTCTGCTTATATATATCTTATCTTTGCTTTTAAAGTTTATAGATGAATCATGTAAGATAAGGTTTCATGGTGGTTGATAGTCGAAAATGATTGTAGATATTGTTGATAATTGCTAGAGTTTTCTGCCAATACTGAGATTGATGTTTCATTTGTTTTAGTACATAGCATAGTCTTATGAATGTACCATTGTGCATCTGTATTCTGCATTTTTCTTACCTTGTTTTCTTCCTGTGAAGATGCAACCTCTTGCGCAAAAGAAGCTCGAGTTTGAAGAGTTCTGTGCGGCTGGGGTCAGCGTTTACCAACTGGAAGCTCTTGAAGAATGGGAACAAATTGCAATTTCAGCGTTTGAGCACTTTGAACAAGAAGGAAACCGAGTCATATCTGTCCAAGAACTCGCTGGGGTATGGTCCTGTTTAAACCCTCTATGAGATTGGATTAAGCATCATCTCTTTGTTAAGACTAAAACCTTTTTATTTTGTAGGAGATGAGCGTTGGACCAAATGCATATCCTCTGCTCAAGGATTGGATCCGGAGTTCAGATGGGAAGCTGAGTTTCTTGGGATACGCTAAGTTCTTGCATGGTGTGACTGTAAGAAGCTCGAGCTCAAGACCTAGGTGACATATCTTCATGAACATAAGTCTTCTAACGTGTGAATCAAGTTGGGTTCAAAGATACAACATGTAGTGGAAGTGGAAGGCAGGTACTTCCGGTGTAAATGATTCTTTGAGCATATTTTTTAGAGGAACTAAACCCAAAAAAAGGGAAAACATATTACATATTATAGAATGATTTTGAGAGGTGTTGTTCTGGTATTGTTTTCAGATTTTAGTTTGGTTAGCATCATTGATTGTATATGCTAATACTCGTTGGAGCTCTAAAGAAATGACTTTAAAAGCGATTCTAGCAGTCGTTGAAAGAGATACTAAAAGCTGTCAAGTGCTTTCTGAAGCATTTGGGAGCTTCTCAAAGTTGTTTGGTGCATTCTGAAATTGTAGGAAGCAATGGCAAGCTGTCAATGTTCTAAACTCCATCCTCTTAGATGGTCACACACTGAAAGTGTAATAAACTTGTAGCATTAGATAACCGGTTAGTGAATTTCAACAAAAACGTACAGAGCAACCAACTATTGAAATAGTTGCTATTACAGAGACGCAGTTAAGTGATCCATTACATGATAGTATGATAAATAAACCATCTGGTATCTCGGTTAAGATGCTCTAGGACCGGTTTTGGGCACAGCCAAGTGAAATATTCACTTTGGCATAGACATTTGAAAACAAAAAGAAATTATACATAGATTGCAGAGTTCCAAATTTCGATTTTTAAAAAATAATAAGATTTGAGATTAAAATGAAATTTTTTGGATTTAAAGGGTTACAAAGTCTCCATCTTTCAGTATGTTTATGTCTAAATGGTGACTCAAATCTCAGGAAGCTAGTGGATGTTGACTCAATAGATTGGTCAAAGTGGCATTTCTTCTGGGTTGATGAGAGAGTTGTTCCTAAAGATCATGAAGACAGCAACTACAAACTTGCTTATGATAACTTCCTCTCCAAGGTTCCCATTCCTCATGGAAACGTATATGCAAATCAACGTTCTGGGTGAATGCAACCTAGTCAATGGTTTCTTTGAATTTGTTTGGTTTCTCCAACAACAATAAAATGGTATCATCAATATAAGTTTGGTACCAAAAAAAAAGTTGTTGAAATGAAATGTAAATGAGGAATAACAAATGGTAAGGAGAAAATGAAAGTAACTCATACATGAACATGGTTGGAAACATATATGGTAGAAAATATACAAATCATAGATTGTATATAGATATATATCAAAAGAAGAATAACTAAAAACAGAGTCAGAAAATGTCTCAACAATACCAGAGTGCAGCAAAAGAAACAAATTTGATTGGGTAAGCCGAAATTTAGTAGCTCACGTCACTACCTTAAAAGACAGTAAACCGGTTTTCCTCCGGTTTAGTTGACGTAGCCGGAGCTGAAGGTTTGGAATTACTTCAGAGGTAGGGGAACGAGAAAAAAAGTATGATTACCTCAGATTTTTCTCTTTTTTTATGGTAAACGTAAACCTATTAGTGTTCTAATATATTATACTTGTAATATAACGGGAAATGTAACTGAGGCCTGTTTTGTAACTAAATACCAATGGTTTTATGTCTATTACAATATTTTTGTTACATAATAAATTGGAAATTAGAAAATCTTGAATTCCATTTTCCAACCGTTTTATCAATATTACTTTTGTTTGTAAATGTGATTTGTAAATTCTTTTGTTCCAGACTGATTTGATTCTACTTCTGACAAACTCCCAAAGACAAAGCAAAGCATATTGGGTTATTAGGTGAATATTGACAAATACCAAACTTCTTGGTCCTTTATCCCTCTTCCTCCATTCTTGATTTTGATTTAATTGAAACTCTTAACCATTAATTACATGCGACTAATTTTCTCTTGTTCCTCCTTTATTCCTCCTGCTAATATGATTACTATGGTTGCATTTCTTATCATCCTTTCAACAGGTAATTTTCATCAATCATTATTTTCTTTGTAATAATCAATTGCGAGTAATTTAAAGTATAAAAATAAAATTTTGAGGAGGGAACAATAAAATATGTTCATATTTATTATTGGTCAGGATCAGGAGCTGAAGCGAGCATTGGTGTAAACTACGGAACACTAGCCAACAACCTCCCTCCGCCGCGTCAAGTGGCGGAGTTCCTCCTCAATTCCACCGTCATCAACCGCATCCGCCTCTTCAACACCGATCCTCAGATCCTCCAAGCCTTCGCTCACACAGGTTTCCCCGTCACAGTCACCATCCCCAACGACCAAATCCCACACCTCACAAACCTCTCCTTCGCCCAAAGATGGATCTCCGACCACATCCAACCACACTTCCCTTCCACCAACATCAACCGCATACTCGTCGGAAACGAAGTCATCTCCGCCGCTAACCACCTCCACATCAGAAACCTTATCCCGGCCATGCAATCTCTCCACACCGCCCTCGTCTCCGCCTCCCTCCACCGTCGCATCCAAATCTCCACTCCACATTCTCTAGGGATCCTCTCTCACACAACTCCTCCCTCTTCCGCTAGGTTCCGACAAGACTATGTCCTAAAACCTCTCCTCAGCTTCCTACGCACCATTGCCTCACCCTTTGTCGTGAATCCTTACCCGTTCTTCGGTTACTCACCGGAGACTCTAGACTTCGCTCTGTTCCGACCTAACCCTGGCGTGTTCGACCACGGCACGAAGCTTCATTACACGAACATGTTCGACGCTCAGCTTGACTCCGTCTACTCCGCCATGCGACGGCTCGGATTCTCCGACGTCGACATCGTCGTCGGAGAAATCGGATGGCCGTCGAAAGGAGATAATGATCAGATCGGCGTCGACGTCGCCACCGCGGCGGAGTTTAACAAGAAAGTGGTGGAACATGTAAACTCCGGTACCGGAACGCCGCGGATGCCTAACCGGACTTTCGAGACGTACATTTTCGCGCTCTTTAACGAAAATCTCAAACCGGGACCGGTTAGAGAGCGTAATTTCGGTCTTTTCCGGTCCGATTTAACTCCGGTTTACGACATCGGAATCCTCCGGTCGCCGGTAAGCGCAGCCGCGTTTTTGCTACGTTTCGAAAATTTGTTTACGAGTTTTTGGTTTTGGAAATTTTTCAGGTTAGAACATCGGATCCACCGGAGAGTGACCGGCGATCACCGGTCGGAGGATCTTCCGGGAAGCGGTGGTGCGTTACAAAGCTCGGCGCAGAGACGGAGGCTTTACAGAGGAACATAGATTACGTATGTGGATTGGGCTTAAATTGTGGGCCTATTATAGTAGATGGGCCTTGTTTTCTACCTAATACAGTGGAAGCCCATGCAGCGTACGCTATGAACTTGTTCTACCAGACTATGGGGAGACACGAGTTCGACTGCGACTTCGTTAAGACGGGAGAGATAACTGTGATAGATCCCAGTACGTATTCTAATTTTTGATAGAATTATTAATTAATTAAATCTTTTGTTAATGATTTTTTTTAAAATGTGATTTCTGCAGGCTATGGAGATTGTCAATATCATGCTGCCTTGGTATGAAAATACACAAATGTAATTTGCAGAAATATTCTAGTTATTGTTTTTTTTTTTTTTTTTTTGAACACATTCTAGTTATTGTTCAAATCATAACAATATCAAGTACTCCCTCCGTTTCAAAATATATGTCATTCTAAGCTTATTTTTTTTCACAAATTAAGTGTCGTTTTAAAGTTTCGAGGCAAAATTTATTAGTTTTATATAATATTTTATTTTTCTATTGGTTGAAAAGTGGTTAGGTGTATAGGTAATTGTGTTTTTATCTTGGAAATATGTAAAATTAAATATTTCCTTAATCTGTGTGCAAAAACATAGAATGACAAATAAAGTGAAACGGAGGGAGTACTATTTAGAATAATCACACTTTAAAAAAATCCAGCTATCATTTCTAGTTCCATACACCTGAGTGGCATTTAATTATATTATTAAAATTGAATTATCTTTCAGAACTAATAATTTTGAATCCTATTAATTACAGCTTGTGTCATTAAGTTAGTAAATAGATTCAGCTCTATTTTTATAGATTTTTTTTGCATTAATTTTGGAAGTTTAAACAATATATAGCATTAATATATATCCGACTATTTTGGAGAAAGATAATACCAATCTGTGTGCATATTTTTTTTATTAGTAGACATCAAGTAGTTTCAAGTTCCAAAAATCTATGTTGTAAGTTATCAAATGTAAATATAAATCGTATTATGTTCATGTTCTGGATTTTACGAAAACTTGGCATTTCATATACTGTTCTTTATGATTTATGAAACATATGATACTCCCAATGGGATGCACCATAACAATATTATAAAAATTTGACAAAAACTATATGAAAGAACACATGTTTACAAAAATTATACAAATTTTACCATAAAGTACTAGACATAAATAATTGTTGATGTAATATATTTCAACATTTTTGCATCATGAAAATGTTTCTTAGACTCTTAATGTCATGTATGAGTGAATGATAATATATTTACGAATGAGTGCTAATTTTAATTGAATGATTGTGTTGGTTATGTTGAATAGCCCAACTAGCTCTTAATTTAAACCAAAATGTAAGTAAATCTACATTTTTTTGAACCTGTGTCATGATAGTCCATATTCACATAGTGTCCAAATTTCAACAGTAGTATTAGGTGATTATCTGCGCACATGTGCAATATAAAATTTATATATTAATAAATGTTGAATATTAACTTTGATCGTTTAATCATTATGTCATGAGTCATGATGAATCATCATGGACCATTAATATAAGTAGGATCATATTTGTTAATATTTAGTTATTTAAAACATATTTAATTTGTATTAGACTCGGATATTATAATTCAAAGAATATTAATTGTGTATATAAATTATTTATACATATTATTATTTATTTTGTGTTCATTTATGTATTATACAATAATAAATATGTTGAATAATTGAAAAACGAGTAACTATTGCGTATATAATTAAACTGGAGCAAGTACATAAATAAAAATCTCTTTTTTATTTGTAATCATTTTTGTTGGTAAAAAATAAAATAAGAATTTATTTATTTTATATGGTATATAATTAAAATTAAATTATATTAACATAAATATATATTATATTTTAATATGAATATATATTAATTGAGATTTCGTACTCATATGATTTTACTAACATTTTTTATATTTCTGTAATAAAAATATGATTTTCATTAAAAGAAATATTTATTAATTAAAGCTTCTTAATCAATGTAAATTTGAAATTAACATGTTTATTTATTTTATATATGATATATATTTTAATTTATATGGTATTGAAATAAATAAATATATATATATATATATATACTATGAATATATATTAAATGAAATTTGTATCTTGTTATAACTAAAAGTTAAACCATTGATCACAAAAAAATTGAATGTAGGTTTTTAAGAGTCTTAGAAATTTATAATCGTTTAAAAAATCAAAATTTAACATACAACGTGATTGTTTAATTTCTTTTAAGAATATAAAATTAAACAAAAATGATGGAGGATGAAAAAAGTATTATCAAATCTTTATTATCAAAATTATTAATTGTCATATATTTATTAACCATATTAGATAACTTATTAAATTTTATTTAAGTAAGAAAAACAAAAATATTCTTTTATACATTACTAATTAATTTAATAGTTATTTTATAATAATATAATATATTTAAGATTGCCCAACCTATTTATCTAGAATACTAAGAATCAATGTAGTGATATGACACGTGAATACCAAACATGTTGTAATGCTCCATGCTTAGTATAAGGGTCCTTATTAAGTTATTTTGTGAGTGTATAAAATGTTGTAGCATAATTAGTAAATAACACGGTTAATTCTCAGATAAAGAAAAAACTAAATTAATAGAATAGATGGATGATTATTGTTTTGGTAAAAAATATTCTATATGATTTCCTAGAAATGTTATATTTAGCTAATGTAAATAATCAAATAAATCATATTAGTTAACTAATTCATGAAATGGTCATAATTTCTGTTTAGTGGATTTTATTGAATCTGTTTTAATAGAATAGGATAATTTATACCAAAATCATTTATTTCATTAGATTATTTTCTAACCAAACAAATTATTTTTAATCAATTAAATTAGACATATTTATTTAAAATAGAGTCAAAACAAACTTCAATGTCATATATTCATGTATATTATTATTTCATTATATAAACTATAAACATTTTATTAAAACATGAAAGTTATTTTCAAATATATCAAATCGTTTGAGATTCTTATAATTCACATAGGTATATTTGAATTATAAAAATACAAAAATAAGTTTGATACATAAAATATAATTTATTTGGGATATAAAATAATTAGAAACATATCTATCTATCTTAACAAAATAGAAGTATATTTTATTTGACATTAAATATTTTATTTTGGAAAAATGGATTTATTAATATACATAAACATATAAATTGATGTTTTCATTTATAAATAAATATATCAAAATGTTAATGTGCTTACAATTATTAAAACAAACACACGTGCACCTGCATGTGTTAAAATCTAGTTTTTTCAGTTATTATTATAGACAATTTTAAAATTTGTCTCCCAAGTATTAATTAAAAACTTCTTACAAATGTATTGATAAAAACTTGGTTTAACCCTCCTTCCTTTACTCAAATGTAATACTAAAAGATATTTATTAAATAATAGATTAGAGTTTGATATTTGCTGGTCAGAGTATCTAGCACAATGCAATACTGGTTAATTATTGATAATCACTTGAGCATATAATAGGCCACTTGTCATCGGCTGATTCTATACATGTGTTCATTGTTGAGTCTGTTACCTTCACTGTTAAGACTAATACCAGATTATATATATGTATTCAAAGTCAAGAGGCGCTATAGAATCTGACCGCTGAAAAAAAGTTATTAGAATCTGACTAAACGATGAAGCTTGTGATCCTAGTATCCTTCTTGCTCTTTCTCCCAATGTTTTCTTCAGGTACAAATCAACTAGCAGTTTTTGTAACCAATGCATTATTTCACATTTCATATAGCTCACTTATGCATATATATAAGGTCTGCCTTACAGAACTAGATCTTGCTTTACGGTAGTTTTGTGTAAACAAATATGCCTGCAATTCTCAGATACTTTTATTCCACAAATGCTAATATGCTTCATAATTTATTAGGGCTTGAGACTTCATATCCGGATGACATCCAGTACGAGGTATATCAGAAACCACAAGATCATAGGAATTATATTATATCAATTACAAATATATATCATAACCAAAACTATATAATCTATCAATAAAAATAATCCTAACAATGCATTAGGAGGCTGTTTTTAAATATAAGGATCCATTTGTATACATTTTTTAGTCGTTTCCTCTTTTTAGTTTTTGTTATTTCTAGCTACACCAGTACTAGAAGATATTATTTAACATTTTACCAACAAAGTTATAGAAGATATTTACGATAATGGTGTTTTTATTAACATTATTTGAACTGGATATATTAGTCCTTTAAAATCATTTTCATTTAACATTAAATATACAGTATTTGAGGGAGGGGTGGAGTTTTTTTTTTTTTTTTTTTTTTGTAAAGAGGCTTTCATATTAAAATGCAGGAGAATTAAAATTTGTTACAAGCCTTAGCTATAGTGAAGCTGGAAGCCCAGCAAAGCCCAAAGGGAGTGCTAAACATAAGAGAAAGAGAACCATAGTCTTGGCCCACCAGGAAAGTATTTGAAGCCCAGAAGAAAGACTTAGTCTCCTTTGGAGAAGTTTCGATGGGATCAATGAGTCATTACGATAATCGATCCTTACGAAGATACGCATCGATCCAGTTTTGAAATATCAAGCCGTTGATAACCAGAGTTGCATTAGAGTAGAAGATGCTGTCGGGTTTGTGGGCCTGAGAGAGGAAATCTTGTTTGTTATCTGACGATCAATGGCTTTGATGATTGCTTCAGGAGAACGAAATATATTACGATGCAATCGAGAATTCCTTTCAGTCCATATTGCGTAGATAGTGGCTTGCCATGAGAGAAGAATTAGTCTGCGAGTGAGATTTGGTCCCCGAAGAGATTCCATGTTGCAGATCGTTTGGGTCCAGTACCTTGAAGCTTGAGCTCCACATCTAGAAGCTATGAACGACCAGATAGAGAAGCTAAATCTGCAATCAAATAAGAGATGGTCCCTAGACTCTATTCCCACAGAGCAAAGAAGACAGTGAGGGCTAACTTGTAGACCCCAGTTGGTGAGCCTGTCCCTTGTCGGGCATCTATCCAAGACGAAAAGCCAAGCAAGAAAAGCGTGTCTTGGAATGCTTCCTGAGAACCAAATTGCAGTCGACCAAGGCACCTGAGGAGATACATCACGAAGTAAGTTATAGACTTCTCCAGTAGAGTAAACAGAGTTAATCCGACCATTTATTTCCCATTCATAATAGTCTTCTTCGTCTTGCAGGTCAATTGTGGTGATGAAGGAAATAACCCGGAGCTGATTATCTGTTCTTGCTGGTGGTAGAAGCCAATTTCCATTTATTGAGAAATCCGCTAGGACTGCTCCCTTGGGGATTCCTAGTCTTGATGTACCATCTGCAGCGTAGTATTCTTCCAAGCTACCATAAGGCGACCAGTTATCATACCAAAACCTACAGGTACGGCCATTCCCAATCCTCATTTTTATCCAGGAAAAGACCACCGGTCTAAGCTTTAGAAGTTTGTTTGCTAGCCAAGAATTAGAACGGTTAGGTTTAGCTGTCCAGTAATTGCTAATGTTCCCTTGTAACACTTCTTCTCTATACCAAGCAACCCAAACTGAGCCCGCTTTGAAGAATAGAAGCCAGATAAGTTTTAAGCAAGTAGCTTTGTTCCAAGTTGCTAGATCAGTCACACCTAGGCCACCTTCTTTCTTTGGTTTCGTTACTGATGACCATGCTACCCTTGCGGTAGGAGGAGACTCAATGTCGCCTTTCCAAAGGAACACCCCACAGAGGGAATTTATGCGAGTTACACAAGCCTTAGGAAGCACAAATGAGGAGCACCAGAAATTTGTAATTCCTGCAATCACCGTTTTGATGAGGAGCAACCGTCCAGCGAAAGAGAGAGTTTTGACTGACCATGAGTTAAATTTCGCTTTGACTTGCTGGATGAGAACCTCACAGTTGGCGATGCTAAGTTTCTTAGTGCACAGGGGAACACCTAAATATCTGACCGGGAGAGAGCCGAGGGGCATACCAGTAGATACTTGTATTTCATCTATTTCTTGCTGTGTTAAACCTGAACTGAAGAAGCTCGATTTTTGGACACTGATAGCTAATCCTGAACGTTGCTCGAAGTCGTGTAAGACCTGTAAAACGTTTTGGACAGAGGAAAGGGATCCATCTATAAAGATGAGTAAATCATCAGCAAAGCTGAGATGAGTTAGTCTCGTAGATTCAGTTCTCGGATGGAAACCAATACTACCATTGGCCGATGCTGCACTGAGAAGTTTAGAGAGGCAGTTCATTGCAATTACAAAAAGGTACGGAGAGAGAGGATCACCTTGCCGCAATCCTCTAGTTCCTTTAAAGTAGCCATTGACAGTCCCATTATATCCAACCATGTAGGAGGGAGTACAAACACACGCACGGAGCCAACGTATGAACAAGGCTGGGACCTCAAGGCTTTCCAAACAACTGAAGAGAAACTCCCAAGACAAGGTATCAAAAGCTTTGGCTATATCAACCTTGATAGTAATTCTTTTACTACTTGTATGCTTGTGATATCCATTTACCAGTTCAGCAGCCAAAACAGTATTTTCTAATAGCAATCTTCCTTTAACAAATGCAGTTTGATTTGGAACGATCAGGCCTTGAAGCATAGGCTTGAGTCTCTTGACCAGAAGACGGGAAATTACTTTGTAGACAGTATTAAGACATGAGATCGGGCGATAGTCTGTGATATAGGTAGCACCTTGCCTCTTAGGAACCAGAGAGAGGATTGTTGCATTGGCAGAGCCAGGAAGAAAACCTGAGGTGAAGAAATGAGTGATCGCTAGAATCACCTCTTGGCCGATGATTTCCCATGAACCTTTGAAGAAACCTGAAGTTAAACCATCCGGACCAGATGCCTTATTAGGATTTAATTTGAAGAACAGTTTCCTTATCTCCTCTGCAGTGGGAAGAAGAACCATTGACTGTTGGTCCTGAGGAGAGACTCTGAATTGAATAAGCTCCCGAAACCAAGCAAAAGAGGAGATCACAGTGAAACTTCTACTATTAGGCCCTAGGACAGATTTGAAGTATTCCACCGCATGGTTACTCATCTGAAGAGGATCCTTTAGGAGAATTCCCGCAGAAGTGAGGAAGGTACGAATTGCATTGTAGCTCGCTCTAGTTTGACAAATTCGAAAAAAGAAGGAGGTATTGAGATCACCTTCTTTTAACCAATTTATCCTAGATTTTTGCTTAAAGTAACTTTCTTCAATATCCCTTAGGAGCAACCATTTTTGGTGTTGTTCTCTTTCTTGCTGGAAATTTTGGGGAGTGGGATGATTAAGAGCTTCTACCTGCACAAGTTGTAACAAACGGTTAGCTTCCAAAACTCTCTCTTGAATATTAGAGTAGTTATCTCTGTTTAGATTTCGCAAAGGTCCCTTTAGTCCCTTGAGCTTCCAACACAAGTTTGTTAAGTTCATACATGGGCTTCCGGCCTGAAACCATGCCTCCGATATCACTGAAATGAAGTTCGGGTGTTTAGTTAAGTAGTTTAGGAAACGGAAAGGTTTAGTGCCGGCTTTAGGTAGGTTTTGGTTTAGGTCAATGAGACAAGGACAATGATCAGACATGAGGGGCGGGAGGAACGTAGCTGTAATATGGGGCATAACAGATATGGCTAGATTATTGACAAGAAGGCGATCCAGCTTCTTGGCAATGGGTGTTAGTGGTTGAGAATTAGACCATGTAAACATTGGTCCCTGGTATCGTAAATCAAATATGCCTAGCTGTAATAGACAGTCGCTGAATTGAGTCATCAAAGAATCATTGGAGTTGACATTCAGCGATGAATGCTCATAGTGATTTCTAATCTGATTGAAATCCCCTCCCATGATCCAAGGCTTTGAGTCGAGGTTGAATTGAATTTGTAAGTTGAGAAGCTCCACCCATAGGTCACTTCTTTCTGGGGCATCATTGGAAGCGTAGATGAAGGTGTAGTAGAAAGGAGGACAAGTTGGAATGGAGACTTCACAAGTTATAGTTTGTCTGCTCTGACCCAGAACTCGAACTGAAGCAGGGTCCTTCCATATAAGAATAATTCTTCCATCCTCATCAGAGTGATGATTGGAGAAATATTTCCAGCCGTTGCAGAGTTTATTCATTAAAGGGTCAAGGTTGACCTCTTTTATATGTGTTTCCAAAAGTGCACCAACAATGGGTTTATTTAAGTATAGCCATTGACAAAAAGGTTGATGCTTGTCCGGCTCATTAAGTCCACGGACATTCCAAAAAAAGAGTTTGATACTCATAGATAAAGGGAAGAAGGGTCCCCTGTAGAGAGGAGAAGCCCTTGAGAATCAAAAGAAGAAAAAGAGTTTTTTAGTGGGATAGAAATTTGGTTTGAGTGAAAAGGAAGAGCTTGTAGTCCTTTAGACAGAGTGGTAGTACAAGCGTTTTGGTGAGGAGGGGAGTCAAAAGAAGGGTCAGATCTAGAGCGTTTTAGTTTCTTTTTTTCAACAAACTCAGAAGGACTAAGGGTATTTTTTGGAGAAGATGGGGCAGTAATGGTGAGGGTTCGGGGTTTTTGAGAGGCTCTTTTTGTGAAAATGGTTTTTTTGTGGCTTAAAAATGGGGTGGAGGAGGGGTGACAAGGCGCAAGAGACATCTCAGTATCTTTAGAAACAACCAGATCTTGAGGTGAGGGAGGCTGAATGTCTTGAGAAAGAGCATCAGACCTCGCAATAGGAGCAAACGCTTTATCACTGGGAGTCTCCTTAGACTTGTTTTTATTCTTTGCTTTAGCCACTGATTTCTGAGCTTGAGTTTCTTTGTTTTCAGGTGGAGTCCAGGAGAGACAGTTTCGAAGGACATGACCTAACTCATGACAATGGGAACACGTCGGAGGAAGCCATGGATAGGTAACAAAAACTTCTACAACCTCACCGCTTTGTCTTTCAAATTCTACAACCGTTGGAGCGGGTTCTGTTAAGTCTAATACAACTTTAACATGTGACACAGTGAGGCTTACAAGGTTTTTAGTGAAGTCATCAGTCTCTTTAGGATCCCCAACGAGTCCTGCAACAAGGCTGAGGCCTTGCTGATGTCGCAGATCCAAAGGGACTCCATGAAGATGAGCCCATAGTTTAATAGATTTCAGAGGAGGGATAGCCGCTGAATGTTCAGAAGTCCATAGCGCAGTGTGGAACATAGAATCTCCAACATACCATATATACTTATCTAGAATTTTTTGTCTGAGGTAAGCATTAGGAATTCTGACGAGGGCTGATCTTGATAGAGGATTGTTGTGAATTTCTAACCTTCTGCCTTTGCCCCACATGTGGTTGAAAACATTTTGTATTTGGCTAAAGGGTGGAGGTTTACCATTGAAGTAGCACACAATGAAGTCTTTGTGGAGTTCTTCACCTTTTTTAAAAACTTCATCTGGTATGAGTACTCTAGGACGACCATTAGCTGCTTTAGACACAGGAGCCAAACGATGCAGAGACTTATCTTCTGAAAGTCTGATTTTCTCAACCAAGCTTGGGTAAGTGGAGGGTTTATGAGTAAACGAAGGAGGCAGAGTTTGATGGTTAGGTTCTAGGGGTGGGGTAGCAGGATTATTGGTGGTTTGAGGGATGGTTTCATGATTAGGGTTAGAATGAATAGTAGCAGGATTAGTTTGGATAGAGGGTAAGACAGGAGCATTTGTGGGAGGATTTTGAGGGATAGTTACAGGGTTGAGATTAGTTGAGGACACAACAGGAGCAGATGCCTTGTTAGTTTGAAGAGGAGAGTTTTTGGTAGGTTGAAGGATGAGAAATGGTTTCTCAACAGTAGTTCCAGATCTAAGATCGTGGGTAGTAGCATTACTTACTGCACATTGAATTGAACCAATGGGAACTGCAGGAAGTGTAGTAGTAGCACGAAGCTGATGCCCAACATCAGCAACAAGGTTAGTAACAGACAAGTTAACAGGTTTCTTTTTGGAAGAAGACTGTTTTGAGGAACCAAGAACAGGAGTACCAAGAGGGGGGTAGTTTTGCGGGGAGAAGGGGGAGGAAGGTTCAGGAGGAGGGTCGGGAGGGATAAGGGGCGGCGGGGGGACCTCACCAGCGGTGAGAGGCGACGGTTTCAGGGCGGAAGCACCACTTTGGTGGAGCCAAGGGTTTGACATTGGGAAGCGAGTCAGAGAGAGTTTTGACTTTTTTTGCAAAAAAGATTTGTTATTAAGTTTATGGCTAAGGGAGGGGTGGAGTTGAATTCTGGTAATAATAAAAACTACATATGCTGATTTGATTAGGTTGTGTCGAGTGAAGGAAGGGTCGATCTTGAAATGGACTATGAGAACCCGCATCTACGTCCTCCCAAAATGTCCGACGCGCCACCTAGACCTTATAGAAAGAGGAAAACAGTTCATCTGAAGGAACAACGTTAAAGAATACTACAAAGTATTGGTTAAAATAGTGTAATAGCTTAAACAAGCCAAATGATATTTACATACATAAATAATCACATTTTATCTATAGGGATCCAGTTCTCAAGGAACCTCTGTTGTATAGGATTTACTCATATTTTGTTACATGTAAAAAGAAAAACAGTAACAAAACTATTCTTCAATCCGGCAATTAGTAACATAAAACTACAAGTTCTGGAGGTATTTATGATCCCGTCCGTTTGTTACTAATATTTTTACAAAAAATTTGTTTTGCTTTAGTTGTAGCTTGGTTCTATACAGGTTAAATTGTTTTTACATTATAAAAAGATTACGAATTGGTTCAAATTCAGCCTGGTTTAGTTATTTAAATTCTAATGGGGTAGAGTATGCGGTCTAGCTCGGTTCAATCTATAGTAGACTTTTAATCAGGATATCAAATTGAGGAATGGTGTCTGTTTAATTAGTTATTTAAAGACAGTACGTTTTATATTGAATGAATAACGTGCACGAAAATAATTATTTGTATATATAGCAAATAAATTAAGTCAATACCCTGCAAGTTGTATTTCATTTACTATTTAAATAGTTGTAGATAAATTAAACAATAGACAAAAGTCATCTTTCTTTGCTGCAGGCCGGTTTGAATAAGCAACAAAATATTGAACCGTTCTGTCATTACATAAAGAGGTTGAGAAAAGTAGACAATAACAATAAAAAACTACATCTGAATTATGTATGTGTAATTTAGTTTATATATGTACATTGAGTATGAGTGTATGCATGAGCATGAGCATGAGCATGAGTATGTATGACTTTGAATTATGTATCGAGTCTTCAGTATTCCGCATAATGATATTGTATCTTGAGTCAGAGTGAATACTATAACATCAGTGTAACTAGACCCCATTTTTGTAGTGTTGTATCGTGTAAGACACATGTAATTTAGTTTCCTACAATTATTGAATTAACTCAATAAAGCAACAAGATGTTGTCTCAATCTTGTGATTTTCAGTAAAGCATTACTTTGCACTATTGCATTTGAACTTTATATATCTTATTTGCCAAAATATACACAACCAGTTTGTTTATTAAAATATTGATTATATATGAGGACCAACAGCGATTTAAATTTGATTACAATGCTTTATAAATGTATTTTATATATGTGCATATATCATAGGAGATTCTGATAAGTTATCTCTGTTATTGCGAATAAGATAACTACGAGAAAACAAATTCTTTCTTATCTATTCGTCTGTTCATACGTCATTGTCGTGGCTAAATGATTTATCTAGTTTTTATTTTTGTGTTGGTTTATAGGTTAAATAGATAATGTCGTTTTCGTTCTAGTTTTGGCTATTAAATCGGTATATTAAAGGTGAATTGATGTATGTGGAGAGCTTAATATATCTGTCAAGAAAGCTACAACTAACTCTAATTTAACGTGCAACTTGGTCAAGTGCATCTTATGCAGTAGTTTATTCTTTGACATCTTATGTAATAGTTTTATTTATAAACAATGAAATAATCGTCCATATAGCCGTCGATTTCTGTTGAGATTTATTAATTGCACTCGGTTATACTTGGTTTGTTCTTGGACGTTATTGTAAAACTAACGACCAAAAGATATTATTTATTCACTATATAATTAGAAACAACCAGAACATTTCTAATCCAAATTTTTTGTGTAACGGAAAAGACTAATAACCGTTAAACAAAGGTGTGTTTGCATGGGCTGCTCTCTGTCGAAGAAGAAGAAGAATGCAAAACGACCACCAGGATATGAGGAGCCTGACCTTCTTGCCTCTGTTACGCCATGTTAGTTTTTAGTTTTTGATCTTATTATATACTATTATCTTCTTCAATATTGTAAGGGATCTGTAGCACTATAACTTTATTCTATTTGATATTTGTGAGGACAATAGTTACTGTAGAAGAAGTGGAGGCTTTGTATGAACTGTTCAAGAAGCTAAGCAACTCAATTATCGTCGATGATCTTATTCATAAGGTTTTTTTCTTTTATTCTTTCTTATCATCCTTTTCACTCAAAATTATTCCAAAGAGAGCTCCCTACTTTGCATTTGTATATGGCTTAGGGTTTAAAGTGTGATGTTGTAGGAAGAATTTCAGCTGGCTTTATTCAGAAATAGAAACCGGAAGAACCTTTTTGCTGATCGGGTAACGTATATTCACTAACTAACTAACTAACTAACTGACTACAACAAGTTTACATTTGTTATAACCTATGCAAAGACAAAAGTTACATTTATCGATTAACCTATGCATATTTATATAAACTTCTGTTTTATAATATGTTATCCGCAGATATTTGATGTATTTGATGTGAAGCGAAATGGAGTGATCGAGTTTGGAGAATTTGTCCGGTCCTTAGGCGTCTTCCATCCAAATGCACCTGTCCATGAAAAAATCAAATGTAACTTTTTACTACTTGCTTTGAATTCATTCTATTTTAAATACTTATTATTCCTTTTTCTTATAAAATTAACTAACAAAAATCATATCATGAATTTGCAGTTGCTTTTAAATTGTATGATTTAAGACAAACTGGATTCATCGAGCGAGAAGAAGTAAGTGAATTTATACATATTTTTCTGGAACCTGAAGGATTTTAGGTTACATTATTTTTTTTTATCTCCATAACTTTGAAGAGTTGTTTTATTCTTTTTTTTGTATGGAAAACATCATATTTAATTCACATTATTCAATGATTACAAGGATAAAAACATTATCACATAAAGGATGTGCTATTCTAATGGAAATTTGTAGAACAATGAAATAAAAAGATAGAAACACAAACTTAGCTAAGTTTGATAACATGTCAGAAGAATATTATAAACTTTGTGTGTTGTTTACATATATATAGTTGAAAGAGATGGTCATTGCGCTTCTTCACGAATCTGAACTTGTTCTTTCGGAAGATTTGATCGAATTGATGGTGGATAAGGTAGTCATAAACTTCATTTCCTAGGGTTATTCTTTTTCATAAACTTCATGGTCGATAATTGTTTATTCATTTTTCTTTTATCTACCACTATATATCAGTTTCATATTGAAACATTTAATCTTAATGATAAAGAGAGTAATTTACAAGGAGGTGATGTTATATTTGTAGGCATTTATGGAAGCAGATCGCAAGAAGGATGGGAAAATTGATATAGATGAATGGAAAGATTTTGTGTCCATGAATCCGTCACTCATCAAGAATATGACTTTGCCATATCTAAAGTGAGCTTGTATTTAGTACTTACAGTAATTTTATTTATACGTAATAAGGTAGTTTATTGAACAATACCCTTTAGCCATTAGTCAAATGTAGACAATCTTGAAGGAAATGATAAACAACGTAAAATGGTTAGATTCAAACCAAGCTTGAGCCAAACCGGCCGGTATGATTGATGCATCGAACCAGTCGGGTTGATGTTAATAATCTTGGTAAATGTAGGGACATAAAAGGTACGTTTCCAAGTTTCGTTTCATCTTGTGAAGACGAAGAATTGGAGTTGCAAAACCTATATTTCTAAGTGAATTCCATGCAGATTGCGGATAAAGAAAGATAAAAAGACCTAGCTTCTTGATTTCTTCGTCTTTTTATACTTTGTCAAATTTTGTACAAAATTGTAAAGAGGATTATAAGCTAGGATTTGAAATTGGATGTAATAAACCAATCCTGTTAAGGATGTAATCTTGTCTTGTGTATATATTTGCATACTTTGCTAACTTAAATACTTTTATGTAGAAGATTCCTGCTGAAGTGGGACGGCTTGATATCATCTCCATATCTCGATGGCAATGACACCTACTAAATGAACATAAATTAAACTAAATCCTCTCAACAAGTTGAGGATGACTAGATGTTTCTCTCTATCGTTTTTCTTTGTTTGGCTTTACAAAGAAGGACATCAGTGTGTCTGCAAGTTCATGGAGCACCGTGGTGAAGTTGGACGAGATCGTTTCATGTCTTTGTGAACACTCTTCAGAATAAATCTGGATTTGAGTATTCATCTTCATCTTTGACAACTAGATGTAAAACTCATCCTCACCCTAAGCCGTGTCCAGTACACAAATCAAACTCACAGCTTGTAAAACACAAGCTCGGACCTCTTGAGGCTGGATGAACCATTATTTTAGTGAAATTTGAACAAAGGTTCCAGTCTTGCGCTTCAGTGTCTCCATATGATGGAACATCTGTTTAATTTCCAAAACCATGGAAGATTGGAGTGTATGAGGATCTCATTCCAGAAGATGACATACAATAACAACTACTTCAATCTGATAAACCGTCTTTTTGAAAACTTTCTTTAAATATCCATCACGAAGAAACTGAGTAGCTAGAGCCACTCTTTTTTCGTTAATCATGCAATCAACTGCAAGCTTCTTTATACCCTCTGGGGTTTCCTCTTTTAGAAGTCTAAGACCATGATTATCCAATGGTGCTTAGGGAGATGCTTAGGAGGGAGGGAGGGGTGCTTATTTTGAAGAGGGAGAGAGTGTGAAAAGTGCTTGGATAATCATGGGAATCTTAAAAGCGCTCTCTTCCAACTGAGAATTAGTCAATTCTAATTTTGATCCTAAAAGCCCTCTCTTCCAACTAAGAATTAGTGAAGTCTAATTTTGTTTAAGTCAGTGTGAAGCTTGGGTTTGAATTTAGAAGGATTATCAGAAGAATTAACAATAAGAAATCTAACCTGAACATATGTTATGGGCCTGGCCTAGTGATCTAAGGTCCAATTATGATTCTAAGATTATGGTTAAACAGTAAAAATACACCAATTAACAAAAAAAAAAAAAAAACAAAGCTTTCGAGCGGCGATAATTATCGGTGAAGTTAATACTCGAAAAAACAACGAAACTGTACTTACTAATTGACAAAAACAACAAAGGAAGCGTGTTGAGTTCAGGTCATTACACGGAAGAGGAACAGGAACTTGTCTCTCTCAATCTCCCAGATAGCTGTATCAGTTCCTATCTCCCGGTTCGGTATTTTTTTCTTATCCTTTTCCTCATCCTCTCTCATTTCTTTCTAACCAATCCATTCTGTAATGGTTTCGATCTGTTGACTTTACATCAGTTCTTACACATGTTTATAGATTGTTTCTTGTTTGGTTTTTTGAGAAAATTGAATGTGATTATGTTAGTCGTTGATTTATAAATCCTTTGAATCGGTTATAGATTTGTATGCATTGAGGGTCAAAGTCAATAATATATAATCATCTTGGTTAATACATTGTCATCAATATATTAATCATCTTGCAGGTTGTTGTGATATCTATACATCTCTTGAACGAATCATATTCCTCTATGGCGGAAATGCTAGAAAAGGATGTTTTTTTCAAGGTTGAAGATATTGTTCAGACGCCTTTACCTGGCTATGTAGCTCCAACAGCAGTTAGTTTCAGCCCTGATGACTCTCTGATCACTTACTTGTTTAGTCCTGAAGAGAATTTGAATAGGAGAGTGTACGGTTTTGATGTTGAAAAAGGAGAATCTAGTCTTGTTTTTAGTCCTCTTGACGGTGGTGTTGATGAGAGCAACATCTCACCGGAGGAGAAGTTGAGAAGAGAGAGGCTACGGGAGCGTGGTTTAGGAGTAACTCGGTATGAATGGGTTAAGACTAATTTGAAGATGAAGTTCATTGTTGTGCCTTTACCTGCTGGGGTTAGTTCTCTCTTATTCATGTTTCTTTATTTGTGTGTGAAGTCTAATCTTTGAGACAAAACCTTGTTGTGGCTTAGGTGTATATGAAGGATCTTTGTTCATCACCAAATCCGGAGCTTATAGTTCCAAGCTCACCCACTTCTCCAATCATTGATCCTCGTTTATCTCCTAATGGATTACTCCTTGCGTATGTAAGAGACTCTGAGTTGCATGTCCTTAATCTGTTGAAAAACCAGACACAACAGCTAACAAACGGTGCTAATGGAACTACTCTGGTAAGCTAAAACCAATGCTCTTCTGGTGTCTAATTAGTTTCATTTTATGAGTAACTGATGATTTGTTTTGTTGGTGTAGACTCATGGTCTTGCTGAGTACATAGCTCAGGAAGAGATGGATCGGAGGAACGGGTACTGGTGGTCATTAGATAGCAAGTTTATCGCCTACACAGAAGTTGACTCCTCACAGATACCTTTGTTCAGAATCATGCATCAAGGGAAAAGCTCTGTTGGTGCAGATGCACAAGAAGATCATGCTTATCCTTTTGCAGGAGCTCTCAACTCCACCGTCCGTCTTGGTGTAGTCTCTTCATCTGGTGGTGGGAAGACTACTTGGATGGATCTTGTATGCGGAGGAAGAAACAATAGTGAGGATGAGTATCTTGGTAGAGTTAACTGGATGCCAGGGAATGTTCTCACGGTGCAAGTTTTAAACAGGTCGCAGAAGAAACTCAAGATTATTAGCTTTGATATAAAGACTGGTCAAGGAAACATACTTTTAACTGAAGAGTCTGATACTTGGGTGAGTTTACATGACTGTTTCACTCCTTTAGAGAACGTCCCTTCTAGGTCTTCAGGAGGATTCATTTGGGCTAGTGAGAGGACAGGTTTCAGACATTTGTATCTTTATGACTCTGATGGGACTTGTCTTGGAGCTATTACTAGTGGTGAATGGATGGTTGAGCAAATAGCAGGAGTCAATGAAGCCATGTGTCTTGTTTACTTCACTGCAACTCTAGATGGAGCGCTTGAGACTAATCTTTACTGCACAAAGTTGGATGCATCTCGGTCTCAACCGATGAGGCTTACACATGGGAAAGGGAAACATATCGTTGTGCTAGATCACCAGATGAAGAACTTTGTGGACGTTCATGACTCAGTTGATTCTCCTCCACGTGTTACTCTTTGCTCTTTAAGCGATGGGAGTGTACTCAAGATACTCTACGAGCAGACATCTCCGTTACCGTTAGTGAAACGCCTTGAACTTGAGGCTCCTGAGTTTGTTCAAATACAAGCAAATGATGGAGAGACAAAGCTCTACGGTGCTGTTTACAAACCTGATAGTTTGAAGTTTGGTCCTCCTCCGTATAAGACGATGATCAATGTCTATGGAGGTCCTAGTGTTCAGCTGGTGCAAGATTCTTGGATTAATACAGTTGACATGAGGACACAGTACTTGAGAAGCAGAGGTGTCTTAGTTTTCAAGGTTCTACAAAATCTATATTTTTATTTATTTTTTAATACCAAGAGGTTCGGGCATAAGCCCGGCCCGAAACCACTTAACATGTAATATTAGTTTCGTCTCAGCGGTCACTGACTGACACAATGCTCTCTCTTTTTGCAGCTTGATAATAGAGGAACAGCACGGCGCGGTCTGAAATTTGAATCTTGGATCAAACACAACTGTGGAAACGTTGATGCAGAGGACCAAGTAACCGGAGCCAAGTGGCTAATCCAACAAGGACTAGCTAAACCGGATCACATTGGAGTATACGGTTGGAGTTACGGTGGTTACCTCTCAGCTACACTCTTGACTAAGTACCCTGAGATATTTAAATGCGCTGTCTCTGGTGCTCCTGTGACTTCTTGGGACGGGTACGACACGTTCTACACGGAGAAGTACATGGACCTTCCTGATGATGACTTGTACGTGAAGAGCTCGGTGATGAAGCATGTGGGGAACTTGAGGGATGAGCAGAAGCTGATGTTGGTGCATGGGATGATGGATGAGAATGTGCATTTTAGGCACACGGGTAGGCTTGTGAATGCGCTTGTTGAAGCAGGGAAGAGGTATGAGTTGTTGATATTTCCTGATGAGAGGCATATGCCTAGGAAGGTGAAGGACCGTGTTTATATGGAACAGAGGATTTGGGAGTTTATTGACAAGAGCTTGTGAAAGGTATGTGTATAACTTTCACAAACTTTTTCTGTTTTTTATTTTTCAAGATCAAGTTATCTCTCTCATGCCTATTGAATTAGTTATAAATTTCATTTTGTTATCATGATTCATATACTTTTAATAATGGTTTAATTCTTTAGTAATATTTCTTTTATATGTCTATTCTCTTCTTTATAACCTAATCTAAGGTCTGGTTCCGGTTCTGAACAAAACTTGATAAAAATTTGATTGGTTGGATGGTAACAATTGAATTTAGTTTTAATTTTTTTTTTTAATTTCTATCTACAACTATTATCTACAACTATGTAAATTATAAATTATGTTTAAGTAGTTTTTAAAGTTAAAACTAAAAAAATAATTATATGAATTTTATTTTCTAAAGAAAAATACTGATGTAAAATTACTGTAGGAAGATTTATTTTTATTTTTATCATTTTCACTTAGTTTTTGTAATTATTCTAGATATATAAAAAAAATCAGACTGAATTCTACCGTAAAATTTTTACAGCTGCTACAGCAGCCAATCTCTCTGATTGTTTTATTTAGAAGTTTTAAAAACTAATGTACAAAGTAAAAAGAATACAAATATTAAAATAAATGTTTAATTAAAATGTACTTTAAAATGTTTTCTTTAACCAAAAAAGAAAGTTAAAAACATTAAGGGCCCAAACCCCGAAGGCCCAGTAAGTAAAGTATTATTTAATTACTTGAACCGTAAGCAATTACGTCCGTTACGAAAACAGTGTATCCTGCCGTGGAGAGGAGTTCACGACGTTAAGAGATGGCATGAAACTTCCGTTAAAAAAAAGTCAGCAAGGTCAAAACCTATAAATAGATCCCCCCACATTTCGTGCTGTTCAAAGAAAGACTTGTGACTGTGTGTATTCTCTCTCTCTCTCTCTCTCTCTCTCTCTCTCTCTCTCTCTCTCTCTCTCTCTCTCTCTCTCTCTCTCTCTCTCTCTCT